CCAGGCATGTGTGCATGTGTGCCTAAAGTCCTGAGAGAAGAATGGAGGAGAAGGAATTGCACCATGGCCATCCCCTCAGGGATGATTTCTTGCTTTCTGTTTCTGTTTCTCTGGTGAGTGCACGCACCCTATGGCGAAAATTTATCTCTAAAAAAAAAAAAAGAAAGGAAGAAAAAAAAAGAAAGAAAGTGAAAATCAGATTATTTGAATAATTTTTTCCAAATTCACTTCTTTTCTTTCTTTTTTTTTTAAGAGAGAGATTTTTGCCGTAGGGCGCATGCGCTCACCAGAAAGACAGAGAGAGACAGAGAGACAAAGTGAGAAATCATCCCTGAGAGTGATGGCTACGCCACAATTCCTTATCTTCCAATCTCCTCTCAGGACTTTAGGCATGCATGCACAAGTGCCTGGCCTGAGTTTTTAAGCCACAAGGTGTGGGACTTGAACTGTGGTTGACTACATGGGAGTTCAGCGACATAACCATTACACCATCTGCTGGTCCCAAACTTGTTTCTTTATAGCCATACTCTCCATACTTCAGCCTCCTGGTTGCCAAAGCTACCAGTTCATAGCCCATTCGGTGAGGTGTCAGGATTGCTATACCATAACAGAGCCTGTGGAAAGCTCCACTGAAGAATGACTTTATTTTTTTTTAAAGAGAGATTTTTGTGGGACCAGCAGTTAGCGTAATGACTATGTTGCTGGACTCCCATGTAGTCTACCGCAGTTCAAGTACTGGACTTGGTGTCTTAAACTCACGCTGGGCACATGTACGTGCATGCCCAGGATCCCTAGAGGAGAATGGAGGAGAAGAGATTGCAGCATGGCCATCCCCCCGGCGGGTGATTTCTCCCTTTCTGTCTCTCTGTCTCTCTCTTTCTGGTGAGCACACGTGCCCTATAGCAAAAAAAAGAGATTTTTGTTGGAGCTGGGAAGGAACAGTAGTCAATGTGTTGGACTCCCATAAGGCCAACCCTGTTAAGTCCTGGATTTAGTGGCTGGTTTTCTTACTTTCCCTTTATTTCTCTCTCTGTCTCTCTGGTCAAGGGAAAAATAATAATAATAATAGTAACAACAAATAAAATAAATAATTCTTAAAAATAACACAGAGAGATTTTTGCTATAGGGCACATGCACTCGCCAGAGAGAGAGACAGAAAGTGAGAAATTATCCCCCACTCGATGGATGGCCGCACCACAATCTCATCTCTTCTCTTGGGATCTTGGTCATGTCCTGACCCAGGGAGACAGTCAAATAGGTTTCCTGAGGGAAGGAGTGAGAGACAGGAGGAACAAGGCAGTGTTACAACTCTTCAGGGTCGTTCCTTTATTGTGGGCAGCAGGGACACGACACAATGTTACAATGCTTCAGGGTCATCCGGAGACCACACAGTGTCACAGCTCTTCAGGGTCTTCATGGTGGTCTGGAGATTGTGGGCCAGGGATTGTGGTTATATAGATGCTGGTGGGCAGTGATTGGTTAAATGAAGGATTGTAAAAGGTGGGTTATGATTGGTTACTTTTGTGGACCAATCATGAGGTGCCAAATATGCAAATCTGAGGGATTCTAAGCTCACCGCCCACGAGTTGGCGGCGGGAAGTGGCCAATCAGAGTATGGTTTTGAAGGTGAGGTTTTGAAGGGGAGCCAATCATGGCCTTTGGCATTGTGTAATTGTTTGCTCTCTGAGAAACCGGTGATACTCGCTGGTGCGCACCTCCCACAGGTCACACATGAACACGTGCCTGGTATGAGATTTAAGCTCCCGGGTCTAGGACTCAAGCCACAGTTGACTACATGGGAGTCCTGCAATGTAACCATTACAACATCTGTTGGTCCCAAGAATGACCTTTTTTTAGTCCCAATCTTTGTCTTCTTCTTTTTTTTTTTTTAAAGAGGGACCAGCAGTTAGCGTAATGGCTATGTTGCTGGACTCCCATGTAGTCGACTGCAGTTCGCATCCTGGACCCGGTGGCTTAAAACTCACACTGGGTGCGTGTGCGTGAGTGCCCAAGATCCCGAGAAGAGAATGGAGAAGGGATTGTGGTGTGGTCATCCCCCCCTGGGGGTGATTTCTCACTTTCTGTCTCTCTGTCTCTGTCTGTCTGTCTGGCGAGCACATGCGCCCTATGGCAAAAACCTCTCAAAAAAAAATAATTATTTTATTTTGGGGCCAGCAGGTGCTGTGGTGGTTAGGGGCACTGGACTTCCACATTACCGACCACAGTTCAAGCCCCAGACTTGGACACTTGCTTTCTCACTCCCCTCCCCCCCCCTCACTTTGTGTCTCTCTGGTTAAATTGAAAATAAATAAAGAAAGTTAAATAATATAATTTTTGAGAGGTTTTTGCTATAGGGCACATGTGCTTGCCAGAAAGACAGAGACAGACAGACAGAAAGTGAGCAATTACTCCCCAGGGGGGTGGCCATGCCACAATCCCTTCTTCTCCATTCTCCTCTTGGGATCTTGGGCACACATGCACACGTGCCTGACATGAGTTTAAGCCACCAGGTCCGGGACTCAAACTGTGGTCAACTACATGGGGAGTCCAGTGGTCCAGTGACGTAACCATTATGCCATTTGCTGGTCCCACCAATCTTTGTCTTCATGATCTATCTTTTTTTTTTTTTATTCTTAGTTTTTTCACCATAGGGTTTATGTGTTTCCTGGGGAGAGACAGAGAGATAGGGAAAGTGGGAAATCACCCTAGGGGGCTTGGTCATGCTGCAATCCTGTTTACTCCATTCTCCTCTTGGGATTTTAGGCCTGCACATACACAGCAAGTTTTTCTGGTTGCGGGGTCTGGGATATGAACCACAGAGTTGGCTCTGTGGGACCCAGCACCTTAAGCACCACGCCACCTGCTAGTCCTTTCTTTTCTGTTTAGGTTTTCCTATAGCTAGAGGGCACACGTGTTTGTAGGAGAGAAGTAGAGAAGAAGAGAGAAAAATGAAAAATCACCCCCCAGGAGGGTTGGCCACGTCACAATCCCTTCTCCTCCATTCTCCTCTTAGGATTTTGGGCATGCGTGTACACACACCTGCCATTCCTCTCAAACCACTGGATTCAGGACTCAAACCACTCAGCCATGTGGATTCTAGATGGCCACTTGCTGACCCTCTGACCTATATCGTCAGAGAAATCACAAACAGGGTTCCAGAAGGAAGGCTGTTCCAGGGCCAGAAGGTGGCGTGGTGGTTAGGGTGGCTGGATTCCTACATGGCCAATTGCAGTTCAATTCCTGGACCAGGTGGCTTGAAATTCACACTGGGTGCATGTGCGTGCCCAAAATCCCAGGAGGAGAATGGAGGAGAAGGGATTGTGGCATGGCTATCTCCTGGGGAGTGATTTCTCACTTTCCCTCTCTCTGTTTCCGTATCTCTCCAGCAAGTACACGCGTCGTATGGGAATTTTTTCTTTCTTAAAAAAGGAAGACTATTTCAACTGAAGCTCCAGAATGTGTCCAGGTGGGCTGTGTGTGCTCCAGAATGTGTCCAGGTGGGCTCTGTGTGTGTGTGTGTGTGTGTGTGTGTGTGTGTGTGTGTGTGTGTGTTGTGTTGGGGTGGGGCTAATGCTTTTTAATTTTTCAATTTATTTATTTGCATTCATTAATTCACTGTACATCATTACAGCATACAAAATGAGATTTTCCATCCAGAGTACACTGTATATTGTCTCAATCAAGCACATCAACAAACATGTTATTGTCAGCAAATGATCTTCCATTTCTTGTTTTCTGTACGTTTTGGGGGGCTAATGCTTTATTACAATTTTAATTTTCACTTCATTCCACCAGGGGGCAGACAGACTCAACAAATTTCCAACTTCTGGGAATCACAGGTTTTTCTCTTTTCCTTTTTTCTCATTTTCTTTTTTTTTAAATTATTTATTTAATTAAATTAATTTATTATTATTTTTTAATTCGCCAGAGAAAGACAGAGGAGAGAGAAAGGAAAAGTGAGAGGCAAACTGACAGGTCCAGGATTTGAATCGTGGTCGACCATGTGGGAGTCTAGCACTTTAACTACCACAGTACCTGCTGGCTTTAAATTTTTATTTAGTTAGTTAGTTAGTTTTTTTGCTATGGGGCACATGCGCTCACCAGAAAGGTAGAGAGACAGAGAGACAGAAAGCAAGAATTCTCCCCCCAGGGGGATGGCCTCACCGCAATTCCTTCTCCTCCATTCTCTTGGGAATGCATGCACATCGCCCGGCGTGAGGTTAAGCCACCGGGTCTGGGACTCCAACTGCGCTTGACTACATGGGAGTCCACTGACACAGCCATTTGGCCAAGCTGGTCCCCCTGCTGGCCCTTGTAAAAAGTTTTTCAGTAGTGCATGAGCACTTACCAGGGGAAGACAGACGGAGAGGGAACTGAGAAGCATCCGCCTCCCCGGGACGGCCATGCCACAATCCTCTCTCCATTCTCTGGGTGTTGAGATCGCAAGCACGCACCCACCTTATGGTGGATCCCGCCACCTCACTAGCACACCACCCACCGGGCCCGCTGTTTTCAAAGGGAGTTGGGATTCATAAAGCTAAGGACTTGGAACACTAACGCTAGGTTTTCAGGACTGCATTTTGCTCAGACCCCAGAGACTTCCAGCCTCGGAAAAAGTCAGCCCCCAACTTTTCCCAGCTGCCAGTGCCATTCTCACCTCCACCCTCTTACCCTAAGCTTCCTCCTCCCCCCTAATGCCTCTAACCGTATTTTCCTCCCCCAGTCTCTCTGGCCTCAGAATGGAAGGGTGAGGTCGAAAAGGGGGAAAATGGCTAGCAAAAAGCTGTGGGGGCCGGGAGCACGGCCGCCTAGCCGGGGAGGCAAAGCCGGGAGAGCAGAGG